TATATATTGTTTTAGGAATAATGATATCAGATAAATAAATTGGATAACACTTATAAAATTAAAAATTATTAAATACTATTATACAGTGATTCATGTTTTTAAAGTGCCCTTCTATATTGTTATTGTTTTTTTTTTGATTTTGGTATTGACATTATTGTTATCGTATAACAGAAAAATAGGTCCCAATTGACATTGGATATCACTTTGTCTCAAATAGTTTCTAAAAAAAAGTCATACTATATCTACAAATTCATTTACCCACTAGTAGATATAAAAAATGTTTTTAGTAAACTCTGTCTCAAATAGTTTCTCAAAAATAAAATTAATTTTTTTAAAAAGTCCGATTAAATTTATATCTCCGAAACTAAAGTTTCAAAAAAGATTAAAATTTGCTAAAAATTAATGTTAATATTTAATATATTGGATAGACACTAGCTTTTTTCAAAGAATTATTTTTATTAAGTGGATTTGCATCTGAATTATTCACATTGGATTTGTTTTCACATAAATATTGACCACCGTATGGTGGAAAAAAAGGCGGCATCCAGTTGGCTTGGAAATGACGATCCATGACATTCCCGATACAGGGTGTGTCAGAAATAAGTGCAAGTATTTTAACTGGTAGTATGTTTTGACCCTCGAAACACGCCTACGAGGTTTTTTTACGAAAAAAAAAATTGTTGAAAATTTAAAATTTTTCTTGACATTTTCCGGGAAATTTTAAAAAACTTTTTAGTGCCACTTGTTTATTCACCTGAGATTTCTCTACGGTGTATTTTAACCTTGCAGTGTTGCAACCTCCTATGTTATCCACATTCTACATAGTTCTATATTTATAAATTGACAAACAAATTTCTACACAAAAAATTAGGAATGTTAAATTTAATCTTTTTATCAGTGCTCATTACTAATAATTCTAGAAAAAACAACACATTCATTATTTTTAGTACTTACCCTTTCATTGAAAACTTAACAAAAACCACTGAATATTAACTTAAACATTACCTTTATGACGTTTACGAAAATCTTTGTTATGCTGCAAAGTAACTTTATTTTGAAATAAATTTAATAAAATGATTCATCATAATACATGTTTCACTCAACAATAATTTTAAATACGGATTTTGTTTTTTCGCTATTTTTTCAATGTATTTCAACAATGCCATCGACATCCAACTGTTCACCAAAAGTGCCGCGTGTCAACTGGTTCTTTGTTTTTTGCTTCTTTGAGACGCCGAGCCGCGCCGCCTTGTTGAGCTGGTTTCATGCAACGATATTAGGCGAGGTTGCCGTAGTTTCAACAATTTTAAATTAAAGTCATTCGAAGAAATCAAATTCGTATTAAATTTTAAAAATAAAACAGAGAAACACGAAAGGAAACAAACAAAACAAATGAATTTATTATTGATAAGGTCACAAAAAAAATCTTGTTTGTCGTAATTCAGAATTCAATATATCGAAAACAGCCCGACGAATAATCAATTCATTTTTGTTTTGTTTGT